TATTGAATATAGTGACCCTAATTTTAACATAGTAACCTTATTTTTAACATAGTAATCTTTATTAAAACTTGTTTATGTGACCTTTGAAATTATTGTGAATCTGAAGTACGACGTTACGTTGAATAGTGACCTTAATTTTAACATAGTAATCTTCATTATTCATATTAAACAGTATATAAAATATTTCATTAAAAAAAACCCTCTTATAGCCTTTATAATATCAAAATGACTTTTAATTTATTTCAACATAATAACTTTTACCTTAATATCGTATTAATTAATAAAGCAACCATACTGTCTCTAATATTAGTAGTCCGCTGTAAATTAGTGTAAAACAGGTCCATGTAAGTGTTTGTACATATTTGTGTGATGCATGCCTTGTTTAGTTGATTCGTCTTAATAATCACTTTAAATATATCAAACATTACGTTTTTAGAATTTGATAGTTATTGCTAACATATTGCACGGTTACACAACATTCAATACATTTACTGTCTTTATGTAAATAATTATAATAAAATACTATATAAATAGGCATAAGACATACATTAGGGCCAATTGCAAAAACTCTTTTTGAAAAACTAGCCACATCGTATGAATCACGCGTGTCGAAACCCCTAGTAAATAAATAAATAAGTAAAAAGAAAAAGAAAAAATGTATAGAAACTTGATCATCATAGGTTTTACGCTTACTTTGCCATCAAATATTATACTTCGTATAATTCTTTTGAGTTAAACATAATTCAACAAATTGAAAGATATAATTGTGTTCATCTTAATTAAAACTTATAGATTAGTTCTTCATTTGATATTATTGTGGTTATATTTTTGCTATTTGTGTGTGTTTAGCAAGTAATCTAAGCTGGACTTATGGAGATCAGAAAAGTTTATGAACAGTTAGGAACGTAGGTAGTGCATGTTAATGGTAATTACACATAATATGATAAATTTGTGGATGATCAACTACCTTTTTTGGATAGTAACGAAGAACTAAGATCAAATCCCGTCTATTTCATTTGTTTTTAGGCTATTTCTACACCACAAAAAAAAATAAAAAAAGATAATTATAATTTCAATGTCATTGTTTATAATTCAATTATCACCTAATAATGTGATTATAATATTTAAATTAACTCTAAAGAATTACATTCATTCCTTGTGTCTCATATGTTTTTCTTACAAAATTTTAATGCATAAATTTGAGAATTGTTATCTTCATATTTACGGAGTATAAGATTATAAAAGTTGATCATATTTTAGATAATAAACATATATTGAGATTAGAGCTATCAAAAGCTGAGCTGACTCGAAAATTTTACCCGAACCCGATCATGACCTGACCTGTTTGAAACCCGAGAAATTGGTGACTCGAACCCGATATGACCCAACCTGAAATCAACCCGAGACTCAAGTTAACCTTAGGATTCATGACCCGAACCCGAACATGACCCGACTTGAGATGACCTGACTCGAACATAACTCGTCAATTATTGACCTGAACCTAACCCGACCCGAAATCGAGATTGACCCAAACCCGTTTTGACCTGTTGAAACCCGAAATCGACCCGACCTGTAACTAACCCGACTCAAATTCAACCCGATCTGTTTTTAACCGGACCTAAATAATAATGCAATTAATTCAAATTGACCCGAACCAGGCTAACTCAACTCAAACACTCAAATTGACAAATATAAACTAAACCTATTTTATTAGAATTTATATGAACTTATTGTATTTTATCTAAACTTATTTGAACATGTCATGTCGAATATGAACTTATCCGAAATTGTGATCCCTAAAATGATGAGTGGAAACAATGTGAATAGATCAGAATAGTGTTTGAACTTATCTTCTAAAAATCTAAACTAAACCTATCTTACGGTTGACAACTTGCATAGTAAAGAACGTAACATTGCATTAATGCAGTTACCAGGCGTTTGCACGCATTCCAGGAATTGAAGAGACAAAATATGACACCCATATTTGAATTTTAATCAGAAACATTATTCAGCAATTGAAGAGAGAGAAAATTTGGTTTAATTTTAGCCATTGAAGAGAGAGAAAATGGAAAATATCACAGCAAGTGAAATTGCAGGTTTAGAGGTGGGTGCTTTCCTCCTTTGTGCCACCATTGCTGCCCCTAATATTGACGCCTTTATCTCCTCTTCCCAAAGAAGGTACAATTTTTAATTTATTGTACGAAATTTAAATTAAACTAGATTTCTCCTCTTCCCAAACATTGAAAAACGATTTCTCTCTCATAAATAAAGCTTTTGAATCATTTTTTTTTAATTTGATTATTTTTTTGTGTAAAATAAGCATACAAAATTTCAGAATTTTTGGAGTTGGTTTGATATTATTTTGGGTAGAATTTTCGAAGCAGTGCAAAAAAGGAGCAAATCTGGAAAGGCAGATTTCAAATGAAGATTTCTCTCTCATAAAGAGAGCTTTTGAAGCGATTTATTTTTTGAATTTGATTATATTTTTGTGTAGAATAAGCATACAAAATTTCAGAATTTTTGGAGTTCGTTTGATATTTTTTTGGGTAGAATTTTCAAAGTAGTGCAAAAAAGGACCAATAGAAATATATCAGTAAACAATAAGTATAATAGTTGAGAACAATAACTATACGTGTTTGAGAACTAATAGGAATATATACACAACAATAAATGCCCATATTTCTCGAATTTTAATTATGTTGTTCCATAATTTGAACTACTGTACCACACATATGCTTTATTGTTCCATATATATGAACTAGTGTTCCAATGACATGATATACCCATTATTCTCAAATATTATTTATATTGTTCCAGAAATATAAAATATTATGTTGTTCTATTATTCTATTGTTCCATATATATGAACTAGTGTTCCAATTACATGATAAGCCCATAGTTCTCGAATTTTAATTATGTTGTTCCAGAAATTTGAACTACTGTACCACACATATGGTCTATTGTTCCATAGACATGAACTAGTGTTCCAATTGGATGATATGCCCATTATTGTCGAATGGTATTTATATTGTTCTAGAAATATGAACTATTGTCCCATAAGTATTATATATTGTTCCACATATAAGAACTAGTGTTCCAATTACATTATATGCCCATAGTTCTCGAATTTTAATTGTATGATATGCCCATTATTGTCGAAAAGTATCTATATTGTTAAAGAAATATGAATTGTTGTCCCATAAATATTATATATTGTTCCATATATAAGTACTAGTGTTCCAACTACATGATATGCCCATAATTCCATATATTCCTATTTTTTGCACTGCTTCAAAAATTCTACAAAAAAAAAAATGTCAAAATAATTCCGAAAATTCTGAAATTTTGTATACTTATTCTACACAAAAAAATAAGCAGATTCAAAAAAAGAATCCTTCAAAATATTTTTTTTATGAGAGAGAAATATTCATTTGAAATTTGCATTTCCATATTTGTTCCTTTTGTGGACTACTTCGAAAATTCTACCCAAAGAAATATCAAACGAACTCCAAAAATTCTGAAATTTTGTATGATTATTCTAAACAAAAAATAAGAAGGTTCAAAAAAAGAATCGCTTCAAAAGATTTTTTTATGAGAGAAATCTTCATTTGAAATCTGCATTTTCATATTTGTTCCTTTTTTACACTGTTCGAAAATTCTACCCAAAAAAATATCAAATGAACTCCAAAAATTCTGAAATTTTGTATACTTATTCTACACAAAAAATTAATCAGATTCAAAAAACAAATCGATTCAAAAGCTTTATTTTTGAGAGAGAAATTGTACCTTCAATGGCTAAATTAAAATGTACCTTCTTGCTATGATATTTTCCATTTTCTCTCTCTTCAATGACTAAATTAAAATGAAATCAGATTTTTCATTTTCTCTCTCTTCAATGGCTGAATTTGTTGGTTTTCCAATACATAAATATGTGTTTCAATGCAGAAAATAAAAAAATAATTAAAAAGCATGTTCCAATAATGCAAGCAATAATGACTTATTGCGTGTTCCAAGAGAAAATAAAGAAACCCACATGTTCCAACCCAGCAAACCGAAAATCAATATCAGCCATCCATAATATCAAAACGGATGGTGTAAGATGGGTTCTCACCCTTAGAATGATTGTCACCTAAGGGGAGGGTTCTCACATGATCCCTTTTTTTTTATATATATCTTATCTGACTTATTCGAACTTATTAACTCGAATATAAACTACTCTGAAATTGTTTCTTAAAAATGAGTGGAACCAATGAAAAATAGATCAGAATAGTGTCCTGAACTTATCTTCCAAAAATCTTAACTTGACCTATCTTACCGGAATTAACATGAACTTATTATATCTTATCTTAAATTTATATGAACTCATTAGTTCGAATTTGAACTTATATGAAATTATTTATCCTAAAATAAGTGAAAAAGCAAAAGTTATTTCTCTTACAGTAAATGAAGAAATTGATAATGATTAAACGTAAACGTCAATACATGAATCGTTAACAAACCAACCCGAAAATATACCCAAATCCGATATGACCTGACCTGAAATCAACCCGAGACCCAAATTAACCCAATATTTGAGACCTGAACCCAAACATGACCCGACCTGAAAATGACCTTACTTGATTATAACCCGCAAATTATTGGCTTGAACTGAACTCGACTCGAACCCGAGAATGACCCTAACTCGTTTTGACCCATGAAAACCCGAATTGAACCCGACCTTTTATTCACCCGACCCGTATGTAACCCGAATAATTATAGACCCGACCTAAACCCGACCCTAACCCAATAAGATATATGACCCGACGTGACCCGACTCAAGAATGACCCAATCTGAACCCGACCTGCATAAGTTATGACATTAACCCGAATTGACCCGACCTGAGTTGACTTGACCCACACTAACCCAACCCGTTTACCCGAATTGACAGCTCTAATTGAAATGTATCTAACACGATCTCATATGAATATTTTGTTTTATAATGTACTTATTTAAAATTATTCTTTGAAATAAACTGTCTCTTCTTAAATCAAAGATTCTAAATGGGACAAATAAAAAGGAAAGTATGAGTTTTGTAGGATTATTAAAAATAGTTAATCGTTATATATTGTGTCAAATGAATCAAAATTGAAATGTGCTTTTATGAATAACTACGTATTTTGTTGACCCTTTCCATCTATGGTTTGCATATTTATTGTGTCAACTTACATTTCGTATAAATAACATACTGTGGAGCACATAGGCCTTCACAAATTCGTCCAATCTTTTTTCCCCTTACTTTATTATCAACCAATTCTATAAAATATAATTGTATAGGAGCCCTTAGTCTATAGAAATGGATGAAAATTCTTCAATTGCTTTAAGCAATGATCAGAGTATTTATCGTTCTTTCCTCACTTCATTTCATAAACACTGTCCAAATGAATTTTTACGTAAGGTACGTACAATCACTATTTTTTTCCGTTAAGTTTGCCAATTTTTTTTTTCCTATTATCCTATATACGATCACCTTGTTTTTATGTCGTTTTTTGTTTTTCATTTTTTGTTTATCTTCTTACCATCGTTTGTATACAAAAATAGCTGTTAGCTGAAGTAATAGCAACATATATGTTGGTGTTTGTGGCATGTGGAGTGGCCTCCATAAGTGACACTAGTGAACATAAGATCACAAGGCTAGGAGCTTCCCTTGCCGGAGGAATGATTGTAACGGTGATGATATATGCAGTCGGCCATATTTCGGGTGCCCACATGAACCCGGCCATCACTATAGCGTTCGCCGCCACTAGGCATTTTCCTTGGAAGCAGGTATTGCTAGCTTTTGACTCCATTATTATTTCCAAATCAACCGTACTAAGCAGTAGGTACTTGCCTCTAATAGTGATCATTAAAAATGTATGTGCATATCTAACTTAAAATTGTAACCAAATACGAAGTACGAGTATAACATATTAATAAAGGGGTAATTAAAATATAGTTGCGTTACTATAATAGACATTGGTAAGCAGTTAAGCATCTTTGTGATTATCTCACTCACAATTTTTCAAATAAATTGACGGTTACTATATTACAACTAATTTTACCAAACACGTACATCTCTATGCTCATTAGTTGATGTGTCGAAAACTAGTTGCTGGCATGGATTTTGTATGTGATATCTTGTAAGAACACGAATTCCAATTTAGAGCCGATCATTAGCAACTAAAGAGCTAACATATATGTTTTACTCTCTCATAATGAGTAGGATAAGATCAATCCAAGTGCAACTCATGCACTGAAGCAAAAGATACGTAATTTTAAGGGATGGTTAGTAACATAAACATAGATGTATTATTACTTCAATTTAGACAACACCATAAAATTTCCCTAACAAAAATATATACGGATTTATACTTTATCAATCATAATAAATAAATAGCTAATTTTATCTTAACAAAGTTAACATTACCAATTACTCAGTTAGGTATGTATTTCCAAGCGTATTTTTTGCACCAAGGGAGGATATATAATGGACTTCAATTAACTTGACCTTTAGAGTATAAATGATTCATTAGAATATTTTTCAATTTTCTATAAAAAATTAAATGTTATGTTATAGCTGAAAAATGTGTGGCTGTAAGACTTTATTAATTTATGAGAAGATTGTAAGACGTGACATGTGATACCACAAGATAATGAAAACTATACTCCGTATCAAATAGTATTTGGTTTAATGGTAAGGATTGTATATCATAACATTGAGGTTGCTCTAGGGGAAATTTGATGAATATTCTCTTACCCCTCCCGCTACTCTCAAGAGGCTTTGTTCGCTAATTGAAGTTCGATTAACTTGTGTAAGATTCTAATTCAATATGACTCTTTCTCCTTGCCTTTCTAAATACTTAGTAAAATATATTGAAGGCATGGAACGAAAGTGATAGCTAATTATTCATGGTAGATAGATGAGTTATAATTAAAGATGAGTAGATCGTTTATGAGTGGTAATACAAGCAGAAAGATACATCTAATTTTACGTAATAAATTGATATACCAAAAGTAGGTGAATCCATTTATATAGATTATGAAGTATGTTTGATTTCCGGACACAATGTACACGAATTTATTGGCAACAAATTCTGATTGTGACAAGTTCGAATAATTAACTAAATGTTACAATTTAAGCTTGTTCATAGCCATTAAAAAAAAAAGCTTGTTCATAGTAATCATAACAAAAGTTGAATTCATAAATCTCCACTAACTTGGGAAAATTCTCCTAGTTAATTAGCTTTACAAACAATTCTTTCAAAAAGAAAGAAAAAAAAAGGTTCTATTTTTGGTTTAATAATAATATGAATTGTCAACATGAACAATTAGTAATCTTTCATAAAGAAATCCCTCTTGTGTCTTGTCTCTACCTTTTTTATTCAACCAACAATCAAATTAAACTCATTTTAATTATAACTTTGTTTAGTTGTAATTAACTTGAACTTGGATTATCTTGTTTATTTATTTATTGATTTTCCTTTGGACACAATTGGAAATAAGATGAAAATATAATACGAGTAACACGTAAAGTCGAAGAGGAATGTAATTGACTAATTGCAATATATATGTGTATATGTACAGGTTCCTGCATATGCATTAGCACACATAACAGGAGCAATTTCAGCAGCATTTACATTGAAATTCTTGTTACACCCCATAAAACTACTTGGAATTACCACTCCTTCTGGAACAACTTCCCAGGCTTTAATAATGGAGATTGTTGTTACTTTTTGTATGATGTTCGTCATTTCAGCCGTTGCAACTGACTCCAAATCTGTATGTTTTCATATTCTATTCTTCAATCATTATATTTTATGATAATCTACACAAAATGAGAAATTTTTTTTTTTTTGGAAAAATTCTAAATAACCACCCTTTAAATCACTTAAAATTGATTTTATCACCCATTTTTTTGTATATTTTAAATAACCATCCTTTAAAGTTAAAAAAAAAAAAAGGCAACCTCTTAACTAAAAGTTATCGAATTTCGTGCTAAAACTTGGTTTTTTAAGATTTTGGGCTCACTTTGGTTCTCTGGGACCGAATTGAGGTCAAAACCACCCAAAAAAGTATCACAAATGCCTCATTTTGAGAGCTTCATGCAAATCGAGGTAATTTTCAACATGCAAAACGAGGCATTTTCAATAATTGTTTTTCTAATTCTAACCTCAAATTGAACTCAAAGGGCCAAAATAACCTCCAAAATCTTAATAGACAAAGTTTTGGCACGAAAATCAATGCTTTTTTTATTTAAATAAATGGAATTAGGTCTAAGAGGTAGTGATTTCTATATTTTTTTTCTTTATTTATGGGGTGGTTATTTGAAATGAACAAAATAAGGGTTTGTAAATTCAATTTTAGGTGCTTTGAGGGGTGGTTATCTACAATTTTTCCTTTATTTTTCCATGACAAATTTGAGACTAACCCTTTGTTGTTATTATTGTTGGTTTTTAGGTGGGGGAATTAGCTGGGATTGCTGTTGGTTCTGCAGTTTGCATTGGTTCAATGTTAGCAGGGTAAGTTACTCTTTTACCACCCCCGTTTCATATTATATGCAACAAAGACTTAGACACAAATTGTTAAGCAAAATTTGTTTGTAAGTGTTAAATGGAGAGAGAAAGATATAGATGCATTGATGAAGAGAGAGATAGATAGAAATGACAAATTAAAAAAGAAAAAAAATAAAATTGTTGCACATAATATGTAGCATCTGCTTTTAGTAAATGTTGCATATAATATGGAAGGGTGATTCAGGTTTACAAAAAAGAAAAAAAAAAAACCACTTAAATTTATTTATTTAGAGCTTAGTTTTTTGCAGTGAGGATTTCATACTAATTAGTTTCTTATTTTATGTTAACAGGCCTATATCTGGAGGATCAATGAACCCGGTTAGATCCATAGGACCAGCATTAGCCAGTGGATGTTACAAAGATCTATGGGTGTACGTGGTTGGGCCACTAATTGGGACATTGGCAGGAGCATGGTCATATGAGTTTATTAGGGTTAATGAGAAACAAGTCCATTCAATCTCTAGTAGGTCCTCTTTTGTTTGAATTATTTTAAGGGAGAGTTCTTTTATAATTTGCCATAATTAGTATTACAAGATAATTTTTATTTTACATCCGAGTGTTCATATGTGCATAGCATGTAAAATTTTAAATGTACATTTTGAATGTCAGTATATAATGGATAATGTGCATCTTATATACGAAGTAGTATATTATATTATATTATACGTGGTTTAAGTTTATGTGTTATTTGTTTTAATATTTATTTGTTCGAACTAATTACCTATACTTATTTTTGTTGAACAACCTAAAAAAAAACTATATGAATTTAATTATTATTTGCATTTAATATCATTATGCTAACCTTATTGTGACTTTTAATTGACCATATTACTTACACTTTGATCGAATAAAAATAAATTGAGATAAATTAAAGAAAGGGAAGTGGATGGGACTATGGGAGGGAGCATGTCCGCTCCCCTTGTTTGGATAAGAGATTGGGGAGGAGGTCCATTTCCCCCTCTCTTTAAAGTGACGGATCATGATTTGAACCAGATAAATCTATAGATATGTAACAATTGAAACATCATATTTTATATCAATATTTAATGCAATAATGTATTAATTATGCCTAATATAGTTTTACAAAATTAAAAAGTACGGGGGGCAAGGACCAAAAATGCTGATTGGCTATCATTGCTTGTGGATGATCCACCTGAAGGCTACTAATAAGTACCTTTGAACACTTCAATTTCGATGTAGTGTTCACCATAGAACTATGTTTAGCCTTATATACTTCGTTAATCATCACTAGTGAAAGGATAACGTACTTGTCTAATCGCATCACACCATTCAAATGATTGTTCCAGGTATGGTACTGGGGTTTCGGACTGGTACATGCCAGGTCCAGCTGAGTAACCTGTACAGGGTAACAAACGTAATTGCCCTTGGGGGTGGCTCGAGGAACCCCCCTCCGATGCTTAAGTTAGTATGTGTTTAGAGAGAGAAAGTGTACTTAGGTAGAGAGAGTGTGTAGTAACTTATGTGTCTAATCTCCTTTCTGTTGTACTTGGTCCTTTATTTATAGGTGTACGATCTCCTTCAGGTGGAGCTATATTGGTCAGCCTGTAATTAGCTTACTTTAACGGGCTAGTGAGCCCCTCTGAATATCCTTCTAGCAGTAAGTGCGCACCCCGTGAGTAAGGCCGGGAGCGTGGTGATCATAGCTCTGCAGGAATTATCCCATACAACTAGCCCCTCAAGAGGTGGTATGAGGTCACTCATTCCAGCTCTTGATTGATTGATGCGCGTCTCCTGAGTGAAGTCGGCTGTGAGGAACAGCTCAGCAAGAGCTATCCCATACAACTAGCCCCTCAAAAGGTGGTATGAGGTTGCTCATGCCAGTTGTTTTGAGTGTGTAACCTCATTGGTAATTACTCAACAAGTCGTCTGGCTGAGGCTCCCTCCATATAACTAGCCCCTCAAGTCTTAAGAGTGCGTATGCGGTTCAATGATTTAAGAGAATAGGTTGTGATGTTCTGAGGATGTTGTTGTTGTAGTGTGGCGATGATAGTAGCCCCTCTAGTTTGAGAATTGTCAAGCTTGAGCGAGGAATTTCAATTACTCCCGCTAAAGTCTGAGAAATGACGAGCTCGTAGCGAGGAATCTCGATTACTCCCGGTGAAGTCTGAGAAATGACGAGCTCGTAGCAAGGAATTTCGATTACTCCCGGTGAAGTCTAAGAAATGACAAGTTTAGAGAAAGGAATTTCTATTATTCCCGCTGAAGGCTGGGAAAATTATATATTTTTTTACGGGAATGTCATCTTGCATGCGTGGGACACGTGTCAGTCATCCGGGGTGCAGTTATTTTACTGTGGTGACATGGTGTTTAATCCTTAGGGATTAGGTGAAGCCGCCTATTAATGCCACATTTAATTTTACTGACCCCCTTTTTACTTCCCATTTTCATATCCGTTTTTTTATCTTCTTCATTTCAAAATTTTTGCTCTTCTTTCTCCTTCGCCATTGCTCGCCTGTGAGCGGTTGATACTCATTGTTGTTGTAAGTGCTTTCTATCTTGCTCCATCTCATTTTTCATTTCATTTTAGTGCAATTAATTTCGCCTCTGTTAATTGCTTGTTTTCTTCGATTTTTGTTCTACCTTAGGATCATTTTTCGCTGTTTACAGTCCAAATTTTTTCTTTTGATTTTCATTTTGGGGTTGCGATTGTTGCTGTGTGCCGTCTCCGGCGTGCCATCGATTGCGCGATTCTCTTTAAAAGGTACTTCCTTTGTACCCCTTTTTCACACTTTTTGCTAGCAAAATTGCATTTTTCGCTTCATTTCTTTGCAAGATTGAATATTTTTCTTGAGTATACTGTTCACATGCACTCTTTCCTTTGTTCATTGTTGGTTGCGCTTTCCTGTTTTAATTTTGCCTCTTTTCTTCTTTGTCTTTTTGTTTTGCTTGAATTTTCCGTTAGGGCGCAACTGATTTTGCTTTTTCTCCCCATTTTTCCTTTTCCCTAGAGTTTCTTGTTTGTAGAATCACAATGCCTGACGCTTCTGACAGTCGGAATCCAAGTACTCCTTCTGCTCGTACTGAGTCCGCCTCTTTCCCTGAGTCGTCTCGCTCATGTGAGCGTTTTGAGCGAACCTCTTTTGTTTCTCCTGCTTCACCCCCATCCCTATACGAGTGGTTATGCCTGGTGGAAATTCCCTTGTTGGGAGCGGGGTGGGTACTGCTGCGACCCCTCCAGTTGGATCGGAGTCGGGTGGTAGCTGTCCCCCTGACAGTAGTGCTTTTCGCCCCTTTCGACCTCGGACTCGCCCCGACATTTTTGACCCATATTACGAGCGGGATCTCCCTTATGATGGAGTTTCCCTCTCGCACGTCATGCGCTTGAGAATGCGCGCTATGTGCCATAAGCGCTTGGCTGACGAGGTTAAAGTTAACCCCCCCTAATGTTTCTCTTGTTAGCCCTAATCCTCATGTTCAGCCTTTAAACAGTTTTGCTTGGCTTGGCGATATGGCTGATGTAAATCAATTTGATCATTATGTAGTGCGAGGTGCCCGTTCCCCGTCTCTTGCTTCGGTGAAAGATATGGGTAAGACTACTGAGTCCCCCAGCGAGAGAGCTTTTCAAGCTAAGACTGCAAGCCTTTCTTTGTGGCCAAGCCTATGGAAGAGGGGAACTCTGATTTCTTTATGGATGAAAGATGCGTTGGCCCTAAGAATTGTACGCTTGACTCCAACTGGCGTAAAAATTCTAAGAGGCTAGAATTGGAAAAGGTGGGCCAAGAATTCTATGGGTTTGGACCAGGCTACCAGTTGGTTCTTCCTACCGAGGGCTCAAAGCTATCTTCTCCTCCTGACCGGCATATTATCGTGTTTGCATCACAGCTTGATTTGGGCTTACGCTTTCCTCTGGATCCTACATTGGACAAGGTTTTTCGTGCCTTTAACCTCTGTATTGCTTTGCTTCACCCCGCGTCTCTCTACACGCTGATTTGCCTGCTCCGGTTTTTGCGCTTTATGCGCTACCCTGAATCACTGAACTTGTTCAAATCTTTGATGAGTCTGAAATGGACTTCATCTAGCTCGCCTGAGTCTAGCTGGTATTATGTGGCTGCCAAAGATGGCAGGGTGTTGTCCTATCTAAAGCTGGTCGCTTTCATGACTAGACTAGCAAGTTCTTCTAGGTGGGTGCCTCCTCTGACTTCATTTTCCGCGTAACTTCAGAGTGGTTCGCACTAATATGGCTGGTGTTACAGTCACCCCTACTGAGACTGTTTGAGAGACATAGGCATGACGCCCTGCAGGGTGCTGGCACTCCTGATTCCACGTTCCTCAAGGTTTGGCTGCCTAACTCGCTCTATATTGTTAGCAACGCGCAACTTTCTGCCATGCACTTGTGCTCCACTCATGAATCTGGTAAGTGTTACTTTTTCATTAGAGTTTTTCTTTTCGCACTTGCCCTTTCCTGTCTTATAGCTTTTTGCGTCTTTGTCCTTTCAGGTTACTACAAGTTGGATAAGGAAAATTGGAAAAATCCTCCCAAGCTTTTTGAAACTTTGGAGGTCCGTGCTGGCGCTTAAGGGTGAAATTCGGCTGGCACCAGCTGAACTAATTAAGATATGTCTTTGGAATTGTGACTCCCACATATCTCGCTAGTTCCAGTAAGGCTGATGTTGAGCCTTCATCTTCCACTATGGGGAGTCATCGCGCATATCGGAACAGGCCGAGAGATGTTACTTCGGGATCTAAGGCGTCTATTGCAAGGGACCCTGCTGCAGCTTTCGGCCGGGTGACATCTTAGTCATCCCAAGTAGGTTAGCCGGGAAAACAAGCTTCTGTCGATGCTAAGGATGATGATGTTGATAATTTTGCTAGTAGCGTTCTTAACTTTCCCCCTGAAACGAGGGCTGTGGGTGACGTTGTTGTCGATGAAAAGCCCACATCTTCTACTGAGTATGTTCTGCTCTTTGCTACTAGTATTGACACTTCTATTGCTGCTAAAGACACTATTGTCCCTTTAATTCAAACCACTGGGTTCGAGCTTCCTAACGATGTGATTGGGGAGCTTCCCAAAGTTGCTCCTCGTTATCTTGGGCTCCCAAGTCGGCTGCGGACTGCCAGCTTGTCTAACACCCCATCTAAAACATAAGGCGAGACGTTAGCGGAAATAACGTCGAGACGGTAATGTCACTCTAAGGGTTACTAAAAACTAAAGAAAATAAATAAATAACTGAAATAAAAATAGTAAAGAGAAAGATAGAAATCCCAAATGATCAAAGAAAACTTTCAACGAGGCAGAACAACCTCAATTCCGACTAAGCTATTCCAAAAAGAGATGTAAAGATAACAAAAGAAACTCAATAAAACTACAAGGGAACAAACTAAACACTCTGCTCTCAGCCCAGACTCAACAAACGTTACTCTTTACCTGCAAATAACATTTAGGTTCCATAATTAGTGGGGAGTAACTAGCAACTCTCCCAAAACTTGTAGAAACACAAAGCTATGCATAGGGTAAAGCATATAAGATGACATATAAATAATACAACATATATACATGTCAAACAACAACTTAATAATATAGACAAGATAAACATGATAAGATACATAGATAGGAATACAGTTCAAAACATGCAACATGATTATAATACAAAATAAACATGTATATTGAACAAAGTAGATATATTACCACAAGATTACAAAGT